CTCTCTCTCTCTCTCTCTCTCTCTCTCTCTCTCTCTCTCCCCCTCCCTCCCTCCCTCCCTCCCCCTTCCTCCCTCCCCCTCCCTCCCTCTCTCCTTCCTTCCCTCCCTCCCTGTCCTGGAACTTTCTCTGTAGACCAGACTGGCCTTGAATTCACAGAGATCCACCCACCTCTGCTTCCCGCGTGCTGGAATTAAAAGTTTATGCTTCCTGCGTGCTGGAATTAAAAGTTTATGCCACCACCGCCTGGCACAGTCAATGCTTTTAATGACTGAACCATTTCTCCATCCCCTCTTTAAAAATGTTTTGAAGATAGGCTCTCACTGTGTTGCGCTGGCTGGCCTGATAACTCTGTAGACCTGGCTGGCCTTGAACTCCCACAGATCTATCTGTCTCTGCTTTTCACTGGGCTTAGAGGTGTGAGCCTAGTATGTCTGTCTTTTTAATTAATTAACTAACTCATTTTTATATGTGAGCCTTTCAGTTTAAAATGTTGGTCCTAATTCAGAGATTTTAAAGCAAAGCCTTCCAATACCAAAGTCCATAAAAACCCTTTGGGGGAAGGTTTAGCCAGTGAATTATCCATGTGTGATCTGGCAGTAATGGCCACTACTCTTAGCAGTCTGAGTCAGTCTGCCCTGCTGCGTGGGGATGGCCTTCTGAGAGCCTGGTCTTACACCTTCCTAAGAATGAGGTGCAGCTCTGTGTGCTTTTACTAATTAATTTTTAAAGACTTATGTCTATGGATGTTTTGTCTGCATGTATGTCTGCACACCAGAAGAGGGTGTCATATCCCATGGGACTAGTTAAAGATGGTTGTGAGCTGCCATGTGGGTTCTGGGAATTGACTTCTGGAAAAACAGCTAGTGCTTTTCACCACTGAGCCATCTCTCCAGCCACTGAATTTATTTTTAAAGTGTATTGTATTAATGATTACTTATTAGTGTCCTATCTAGTGTCCTATCTAGATTCCTAAAATTGGTACCAAAGGTGACTGCCAACTCTTTAGAGGTTTTTGCCGTCCAGCCACAATGCAGCCCATCCTCAGTCCAAGCTCTGCACCCCTTGTTTTCAATGAGGCTTGGTTTTTAATTTCCCTGGTAACATGGTTTTTAGAAAGTTTGTTTTTACATGAGTGCTCTGTCTGCATGTGCACCTGCAGGCCAGAGGAGGGCACCAGATCCCATTACAGATGGTTGGGAGCCGCCTTGTGGGTGCTGGGAACTGAACTCGGAGCTCTGGAAGAGCAGCCAGTGCTTGTTTCTTTTCTTTTCTAAACATTTTTTTCTTTCAAATTTTTATATTTTTTATGTGCATTGGTGTTTTATCTTTATCTGCCTGTCTGTGTGAGGGAGTCAGATCCACTGGAACTTGAGTTACCAACAATTGTTAGCTGCCATGTGGGTGCTAGGAATTGAACCCAGGTCCTCTGGAAGAGCAGCCAGTGCTCTTAACTGCTGAGCCATCTTTTCAGCTATTCCCCTCTCCCAACATTTTAATTACTAAGTTACTTTAGTTAAATTGTTGTTTGGGTAATTCTGTGTATAGGGAATGCTACATATATATATATGTATAATATATATATATATATTATATATATCAGTAGCGTTTGGAGAATACAATTATCA